TAATGTTTGGTTGAAGAGTTTAATTTTTTTTTTTTAAGTCACTTGAAAATGTTCTTTTCACAGGTAAAATGTGTCCCTTTGAAGATTGTTCAAAGTGTGTGAAATTAATATAGAAGTTGTAATTAATAAACCTGTTTGAAATAAACAGTTTTTAACAATTTCTATGATTGAAAATTGCAATATTTAAAAAATGTAGCAGGAGTTACCTACCTTTGTAAAATTGTACTGGTCAAAGATTGTAAGGTAAAATTTTTTTTTTTTTTTTACTGAACTTTAAGAAATAGTTTCAGTTCATGAAACGATAATTAATCTCGATGAAAGAAATGTTCTTCAATAAGAAGGTATAGTAGATTTAGTGTAAGATGAATTTAGAAAAACTTGATGAGTGAAAGTTGAATTGCAATCTTAGCTTGACGATCAAGAAGTAGTATTCTTATATTAAAAATGTAATTTTAAATTTTAACACTTCCGAGTTAGAATCGGTGTAAATAATTTGAAAATATCTTGCTGCTCAAATTTGCTCATTGTTGAAGATTGACATCGGTTGAGATGTAATTGAGTGAGTGTGTGCTGAGAGTGGATTTCAAAAAGTTGGTTGGTCAAATTTCTTATTGTTGGAAGTTGATATCGGTGATAGTGAGTCGAAAGTTGTATGCTTGATATTTATTGTATATAAATACAATTATGACACAAGGCCGAAAAGGGGGATTGGGTTGAGGCTGGTCTTCACTGACTATCCTATACCTAGCTAATATGATTCACGACCCATTCACTCATTACAATGCTTTCAGGCGGCATGTTTGCTCACTGAGGTTCGCTCACGTTATTGTATTTATTTAGTTGTAGGTCATGTGATTGGCTCGTGAATATGTTTAGTTCTATTGTCAAGAGAAATATTACATGAAAAATGAATTGAAGTATTTAACAATCAATAGAATTTACAGAGTCAAAGTAGTAATATAATTAGGTAGAAGTTGAATGTTAAATTGGTTCCAGCAAACATTGGAGACCCCCCCCCGCAAAAAACAAAAAAAACAAAAACACAGTTCCATAAACAAACACAAAAAATATCCTTAGAAACAATGTAGCAACATTCGAAAGTACTCGATGATAGGGAATATAAATAAATATGAATTTTACTAAATTTGCCGATTATATAAACAATTACCGTAATTCCCTATGTATAATACGTCTTCATGCTTAATACGCACCTCTAAAATTGTGCTGAAAATGCTTCTACTTACGTCTAATACACACCCCTTGTTTGGTAATCAAACCCTATAAATTGTACCTTTCCAATTTCTTTACGGACAGCGTTTCCTATTTTTATTAAAAAGGGCTTTAAACATAGAATAATATTCTAATTTAGTTTTATGATAATTCTTATTTTATTTTACATTTGTAAGTATCGTTAGGTACATATGATTTTATTTGACATACTTATGGGGTCGCAATCTTCGAATGTTAGTGTCAAATTGTATGCTTGTGGTGAGTAGTCATTTCGCAATTGAAATCGACCTATGAAACGGCAATATTTTAAAGATTTTTTTGTAGCTATGCATAATACGCACCCATAATTTTGCTTATTATTATTTTTTTTAGAAAAAATGGGTATTATACATGAGGAATTGCGGTAAATCAGAATTTGCATAAATGATCTTCCTGATGTCATCACTTTTCACTTAGATATCTATGCTGATGACACAATTATTTACTCCTGTTTTAATAGTCTGCTTGATTCGATAAGGTCATATTGTCAGCTGATCTCAAAAAAAAAAAAAAAAAATCTACAGTCTGTCCCATTTAAGAACAGATTGTAGATTATTTTTTTAGATCAGCCGACAATTTGGCCTTATCGAACCGAGCAGACTTACTATTAAGACAGGGGTAAATAGTTGTGTCATCAGCATAGATACCGAGCTGAGAAGTGATGACATCAAGAAGATCATTTATGAAAATTAGGAACAGCGTAGGTCTAAAGGTAGAGCCCTGGGGTGGGGGTGATTGCATTAATGCAAAAATGATCTAGAAGAGTGGCCATCCAAGATAACTTTAATTTCAGGATTTGATAAAAAAGAGAGAATCAATTTAAAAATTCTTCCAGAAATATAACCTTTCAATTTGTGAAGAAGACCAGTATGTCAAACCCTGTCAAAGCAGTCGAACTAAAGAAGCGAAAGCCATATTGCTTATCTGAAAGAAGACTGTGAGGTCAGATGTTTAACCAATTCAGAATTAATTAGCACCTCTGGTACTTTGGCAAAAAGAGTTAGAAGGCCGATACTTCACCTGAGTTCTTAAAGATTGGAACTATAAAATAGGATTTCCAACAAGCAGGAAAGCAAGAAGCAGCAAGGCATTGTTGAATTTAGAAATATCAGACGCCTATTTGTGTCTGCTCAAAATAATTGTAAATATGTTGTCAAAGAGGAAGTTCAGGAGCGCATGCGTTGTGAGGATCCGGTTTAGAGATGACGGCAGAAACTATAAGCAGGGTTATATGTGTCTCACTCAACAGAAACTCAGTTCTAAGTGGAAAGTCAGGCAAAGATATTGTCATAGTCCAGAATGATAGTGATATTTTACCATTCTAAAAATAACCTTGCCATCGGGGATGATAGAAAAGAAAGATATTTCATCACCCTAACCATCATCATTATAAAAACGACCTTTCAACCATGTAGAGGAACCATTAAACAAGTAATAGTAATCAGTAGAAACATACGTTTCCCAGCACTCCGGAAGATCGAAAATAGACGATTTCAAACGCATCCTTTCAAACGAAATTCTTGGAACCAAACCAAGTAAGCACCGATTTTTAAACAAAAGAGACACTGAGAACATTTTTACACACATCGTACCAATATTTTGTAATTCACATCACAAAAATACAAATTCTTGCTATTTATGTCAACACATGTATCAAGTTTTTATTGTTTCTATTATTGTTGTACATTTTAATTAGTTTCGTTTTCAATATAAAAAAGAGAAAAGGATTCCTTCTGTACTACAAATACATACAGCAACGGGGTAATTACTTTAACAACACTCAAATAATATCAAATTAGGATTACTACTACATCAACCCTGACTTACCTACCCTGTTACAATACTCCAGATGAATCAAGAGTCAAATTTGAAGAGAATTTACAAGCAAAACATTCTGCTTTATCAGCAGATGTTAACACTTCAAACTGAGTGAAGAGAGGAGGGATAGAGGACTTACTCTTATTTAACGTACTATTACAAAGCCACCAGTATTCACGTGAACCAAACTTGTTAGCGGCTATATGGTGCCTCATTATATCAGCATAAGGGATGTCCACCGGAAATACATGCAGGGACACCTATCCATGCGCAAAATGACACTACAAATACCATGATATGTGACTTTTGATCAGAGCAGTTTTTCTAAACGTTACCAAAGATTTCGGATTCCTTACTCCCAGTTGAAATCAGTGTTAGGTTATAAACAGCGATTCTCTTCCTTTCGTTGAGACGCTAGTCACGAGGGTTTCGTGATAGCCTGTAAATGACGTTAGGAGATAGTGATGAAGGGCAGATGCGATGTAGAGCTCGGAGACGAAGGACGTCCCTAGACCCATAGCGGTAGGTATTACAGACAAAAAAAAAAAAAAAAAAAAAAAAAATCAACAACATTAGCATTATAAAACTCTCTGAGAACTAAGTGTGTTTATAGAAAAAGGTTTAGTAGGCGGTTGCCGGTTAATCCTTTCTGTTGTGTGCGTGGACAATGACTTAATAAGCGGCTGCTGGCTGTTATCTCTTCCATTGTGTGTGTGCGTGTGTGGGGGTTCGTGTGTACACATGTGTAGATCAAACTAGTCTCCAAAATTGTTTTGAACCTCGAGAAGAAGTAGGTTTCTATTTTTATACCCGTAAGGGAGATTTAAAATCTAATTTCACATAGATTTGTGAATTTTTTGAATACAAGGTTTTCATTAGTTAAAATATAATTTTACACTGGCCAGCGAATTTTTTTTTCTCGAATTTGCGTTAGTGGTGAAAAAAGTTATTGTTATATTATTGAAATATATGTATTTTTATAGCACTTAAACAGTGCCACCTTATGGGCGTTTGACGAAGTTTAGTATCCCTAATGGGGTAATAAAATTTGTTGTTTCTTTATTACTATCATCATGGAAAAATGTATTTCTTTTTTTATTATACATTACATTCACTTATGTACTAATACCCTTGGGAAAGGTATGAATCCTCTTGTTCTTCTCTCCCCAGCTATGGGCAAATAGCAGGATAGACTGGGTTGTATAGTCTTGGATGGCAACTGGTTTACCGCAGAAAGAAATGGCAACCTACTGCGAGAAAAAAATCTGCCTCGTCAGTCATGTATTGAAAGCTACATGATCGCCCATGCCTGTATCACGCATGGCACATAACTGAGTGAAGATTATTATTATTTTATTTATTAAGGTTTTCCTTTTTCACACAGTTCCTTCCTTGTCTGACATGGACTCCGCGGTTATCTCCCTTTAACCTTCTCTCTGTTTTTATTTTTAAATGTATTTTTATTATTACATAAAATTTGTCGAGGCACGAGGAAATTTTAATTCCGAAAATGCTGCCCAGAGAAAAAAAAAAAAAAAAATTGGGAGCCACTGGTCTAAGAGAAAGACTACACTAAATTTGAAGCCAGGGAAACAACTCCAATGTCTTTCCTCAAAATCCGTGATAATTATTCACAGATAATAAAAAAAAAAAAAAACGAGAGAGTTATGATTGCCTACGTTGTAAAGGGATATGGTATTAAAAGAATAATGAAATAATTATCGATATCTGATTCTTTTATTAACAAATAAAACTCTTACAAGCAAAAAAACTAAACCAAAAACAAAGAATAAATACAATTTAGTCCCTTTTGTACATTAAATAATGAGGAACTTTACTTCATCTTACACCGCGTATTTCCGTCTTACGAGTTATATTCAAGTATGTTGATGCTTTCGTGATGGCTTATTGCGATGTTCACCTTTGGAAATTATGTGTTTAGGACGGGGAGCTTTCCCCTGCTGCTCTCAACTCTTTTCCTTCTCTTTATCTTTATAGGTGCCGACATCTCCAGCAGCAGTATTGATAGTAAGTGTTGTAATTTTGTTAAGAAAGACATTCTGAAAGTACGATTGACATAATCATGTCACACATCCAGTCTTTAGGTACTTCCATTAGCTTTTTTGTTTACAAATTTCTTAAAATTTAAGAAAATGGCCGTTTGTAAGAAAATTAAAAAAAAATCGAGCATGTATTTGACATTCCAATCTATATAATTTCTATCTGAAATAAATCAGAATATTTTACTTACTGTAAATAATAAATTTAATGCTTTAGCTTTTTCAATTAACAACATTTTGATGGCAAAACTTTGTTTTCGTTGATTTATGGTTCTTTTTTCATCGTGATATGCTGCTTTTTACGCGACCTAATGAAGGTAGCTCCTTTTAACGAGACAAAATTAATATTGTTTTTTTCGTGTCTACAGAAAACTCTGGGCTTTCCTTTAACACTTCGAACATAGTTTCTATTTTTGGATGATTTTTTTTTTTTAAAATGTTTCTTTAAGTTTAAAAAAAGAATTTATTTATGTTGGAAATTTTTGAATGGCAAATAAAATTGACAAATTTCATAAAATAAAGTTTTTTTAAAAGACTTGAATCATTTTACATAAGCTTATTTTTTTAGATAATAATTTTAATTTAAAAATTAAAATTATTAGTAGTTAGTAGTATTTGAAATTATTCGAATATTAAATTTATTGCTCTGAAAAAATAAATAAAAATAAAATAACGTACAAAATGCTGCCAAACTTATTAACTTTTTTCCCATGGTAACCTAAAGTTTCTTTACTGTGAAGGAAAATGCATTGAAATATATCATTTTTGTATATTTTCGGCCAATAAACTTACAGAGAAAGCAAGAAAACGACTTTTTTTTTTCTTCTGGAAAGCTTTTCCTTGCATCCACATTCTGTCATATTGGAAAGGAATAATTTTTATTAACTCGTAAATTATATTTAATTTCTTTGGACGCTATTTTTCGTTTATTTTTATTGTAATTTTTCGTGTTATTTATGACTTTTCAAATCCAAACTCTGTAAAAGAAAAAAAAAAATTGTAAATCTAAGGGATGTAATTCAATGTAAGCAAAAATCGATTGCAGCGGTTTAATTTAACTTTTTCCAATGCCCCCCCCCATATGTTTTATAGGTTTAATCTTGTTCTATTCAAATAATTGATTTATGCATTTTGGTTTTGGCTGGCCGCTTGTATCTGATTCAGTCTGTTCAGGCAGCTAGGCAATCTCGGTTGCAGACGCCTGCTCAGGTACATTTGTGTTTTTTTTTGTTGTTTTTTTTCATTACCCGCATAGAGCCTCACATATTCAGCCAGAAAATGCATCCTGTGGCCTTTATCAACAGTTTGAACAAGGCCAGTACGTTCAAAACCTCGGTCACGATGACTTGTGACTTCGTGCTAGCACAACCATCAACAAGCAATTCCATCTAACAAATTTTACTCAAAATAATGGGGCAACCCGTGATGTGGTTTTCAGGCACTTTCCAACATTTTTACTGCATATTGGGATTGCTTCTCCAGGTTGGTAACATCAAGAAGTCATCTTCCTGCCAAATTGACCATGGTGAGTTTCAAACCCAGGGTCTCATGGTCAGAAAGTGAATGTCCTAACTACTCTGCTACTACTGGAAGTAATCCATCCCTAACTAACTCTTACCATTGTGCGACTAGTCTCTCTCTTTCTCTCTTCCTCCTTTTGTTTTTTTTTTTTTTTTTTTTGTTACTATATTTAATTCTTATTGATTCTTTTCTTTTTTTTTTTTTTTTTTTTTTTTTCAAGTATCCACTTCAAGCAAAGGAGATGTTCTGACCACACCACAATCACCACTTAACCAAGCCTCCAATACAAGTGTTAAGGGCCAGCAGTTTATCCGTGATGTTGCTGTTGACCACTGTCCAAGCCGAACACCTTGTGAAGATTTGGGTCCAAACTGCATTAACTGCAATTTTAATTACTCATGTACTTACGGGAAAATCACTTCAGTCTCTTGTGAGGCCAAACAAGGGATCAACTGCACAGTGAGGACAATTTCATTTAAGTTTTCTTTTTTATTTCTATTTAGTTTATTTTTTTTAATGTGCTTAAAACTGAATTAAGTACAGAGGACAAAAACTACAAGAATCTAGAAACTGAAATGTTTGAAAATATATTTTTTTTAACTTTATATAACCAAGTTTATGAATTTCTTTTATTATATTAGCTTTTATAAAACTTAGAATGAACAATTATTATTTTTATGCTACAATGTGCAAAGAAAAGAAATTAAAAGAAATAGTTAAAATATACTCTTGAGTTTAATTCATGAATTTTTTTTATTTTCTTACTTATTTGATTTCATAACATTTATGAAATTTGAAGCTGTCTTGTTTTACATGTTTCTAAATAATGAGAAAAGAAGGCTTGGAAAATTTGATACTTATAGGTTATATTGAAAACAAAGAGAAAGGAACACAGTATGTATCCTACCTAATGAATCTTTGGTAAATGGTGTGCACAATAGGGATTTAGAGAGATAACAAAAGACAAAATTTACTAAGAGCTACAGAGGACAGGAAGTTGTGGAGAGCCATGATCGCCAATATCCTAAAGACAAGAAGATATGTATAAATGAACAGGTTTATTTAACGGATTATTAAAATAAACAAATTTATTTAAGTTTATTTATGAAAATAAATATACAAATTAAATAGACAATAAAAGCAAACTACAAATAAACACATAAACACAAATAAATCTAATAATAATAATTAACAACAAATAATTAAATAATGAGTAAAAAAAATTGACAAACAACACTATAAAATCAGCTACAAATAATAGCATTTGGATCTACAATTATTTCTATATGATAGCCTCTAGAAAAATTTTAAATATAACCATCACTGCCTACCCAATAACTGTTAGGATAATATGATAGACCTTGCTACCCATAATGCACCATTGACCAGCATATATAAATAGTCAAGCCAACACCCATGGCGTGAAGATTGTATTCAGGCATGCAACAGACTGTCGCCAGTTGGTGTTGACTTCAGTGTCCACATTGAATATTTTTGTTTATGTAGGCATTTGTCAAGCTGATATACATAGGCTTCTTCACTTTATACACTTGTGGAACCCCATTTAAAATTGTAAAAAAGTTCAATTGATTTAAGTAACATCACTAAAAATCTCAATTTGGCTCATGCAGAAATCAACTCATTTTTATGTGAAACATAGTTACAAAATTCAAATTTCCACATTAGCATTTATTAATCAATCAGTGACATTATCTCAAATGCTATTCTAGGCTTTGAAAAAGCAGACAACTATATTCTTGTTGTTTGCTACAATTGAAAGCTCATTCTAGAAAATGATTAACAATATTTCCCCTCCTAAAATTGATATTAAAAAATTGGGAAATATATTTATTAACCGATAAACATGTGAGTTTAGTAAATCTAACTTTTAGCTACTAGTTCCTATTTTTTCTTATAAATATGATTATGTAAATTCACAATCTGTTTTCAGTTTTTCAGTATCAGGGTTTGTGTGTCATTCTGATTACTCACACCTTTTGTATAATTATTGAGTTTAAGTAATTCTAGCAATATTCTCTGCATTTTAAAGTAATTCATAAAATATGAATAACATGTTGATTGAGTGAGAAATATAAACAAATGAATTGTAGAAGTACAAAGTTGATAGTATGCATTCAACCTACTGCTGGAAAATTACATGCATCCATAAAACAATGCAAATACATGCATTATGTTGTTGCATACAGCTTTTCACTCATACTAACGCAGTTCATTTCTGTTGTGTTGCAAAAAAGATATTTTTCATTGAACTTTGCGAGGAATTTGTAACTTGGTTCCTAATTTCTTTCAGCTTGAATGAAAACCATGATTACTTTTATACTCAATAATAAAAATTATTTAAAATTTGTAGAGCTGTTTTTGAAGATTATTTCTTTTCTTTTTTTTGCACTGCACACTCTTCCAGTGAGTTTTGAGCTAATTTGATCAATGTCTTCTCTCTCTCTCTCTTTTTTGTTTTTTCCATACATGATCTGGTATATCTGATTTCATAGTATCACCTCAGATTGTAAATTTTCACTGTTATTTAAGTATAGTTTTAGTGCTCCAGTAGTATCTTTCTAATATTACCTACTACTAGACCTAGAATTATTGATAATTTATAAAAAATATAAACTAGAGAAGTCATACACTAAAGAACTCATTAGCCAAAACATAGTGATAAAAACAATGAGGATACATAGTGATGTAATTGTGAGTTCAAATCCCTGGGCTGGGTAGTGTGTACTTGGACTTAGTGGAAAAGGGATGAGGAATAATTGACCAGTACTAAAATAAGAACTAGATGAGATATCTATAGACGTGTGCAGTGGAATGGGAACACTCTGTCCATTCAGATGGAAATTCACTGTAGGTTACCTGGATTGTGACATACTGATGAAGGATGGAGCACACAAGAGTTAAAGATTTGTGATAATAGCAACAAAGATGCAGACAATAGTCTGCATGTAAATAATGTGGATACCAGTCTGAACAACTGATAATATTTTTATGTTGACTCTAATGTTAAAAAAAGTTGGCTTGGTTACTAGCAATCTTATTTTGTGTGGTTTATTTATATATTTCATTTAATTACAGGGTTCGGTGAGTTTTGAAAGAACTCTTGAGTGTCGATTCTGTTATCAGCTTGATCCCTCAAATTACACGTGCAATGCATCAACCTCTTGTCGTGTTGTGGCTGCCCCCAGACAGCGGTACATTGCTTCCTGTAAAGTGAAAGAAACCATCATGTGCATGGGTGAGTTTCTCTACCTATTTCTTGATAACAAATTTGTTTATTTCTACTTGTGATTCAAATTTCTTATGAAACAAGACATCAATGGAAAATCAACTCCCACATATCTTTACAAAGAAGAAAACTTTGTACAAAATGTAAATAAATTGCAGTTTTAAGAATCACTACAATTCTTGGAAGTTCTTTTACTAAATTGCCACTATGACTAATTACCAATGCAGCTAAAGACATGATCAAGGACTAATATGTCTATTTACTTATTAATATTTATATTATTTATGAAAATAATAATCAATATTAAGATCATATAAGTTGTGATATTATGTGAAAAATGTTACTTTTACTAATGACCACATGCTCACCTTTGTGTTATTATATATATATATATATATATATATATATATAAAATAAAAAGGCTTAACAACATTAATATTCCATGGTTATAATTTATTACATTGGAATTGTAATCATGATCCAATTCATCAAACCTACAAATTTTTTTTTGAATTTGTAGGTCTGATGAATTGGATCGTTTTTACGATTCCAATGTAATAAATTATAACCATGGAATATTAGTGTTTGAGCCTTTTATATTATATTCTTACTGTCCTGGACATTGAGTTCTACCTGGATTCTATCCTCTTGGGAATTTATTTATATAATTATATATATACATACATACATTGACCACTAATATTATCAATATATATATATATATATATATATATATATAAATAATGGGCATGTGACTGAGTGGTTGGAATATTCAGTTTCTGACCATGAAACCTGGGTGCAAATCTCACCATAGTTGATTTATCGGGACTTCTTGATGTTATTGGTCTGGAGGGGGCAATCCCAGCATGTGGCCCCTTTGGAAAGTGCCTGAAAAGTATATCATGGGGCTGACCTGAGCCTTGTGAGTGGAATTGGTAGACAGAACCCTGGGGGCATGTCGATGACTGTGCTAGCAGGAAGCTACAAGTCACCGTGACTGAGGGTTTGAGTGTCCTGGCCTTGTTCAAATTGTTGATCCTGCTAGATAACATGCTCTTTCCCAGAAACTGTAACTACAGTCTGCTCAGCATAGTTGCAGTATAAACCACAGGTGGGCTCTGCAGTAGGGATTGGCTAGCCGCCCTAGGAGATGGTTATCCTTGAATACGAGTGGCCAGCTCTCTTATATATATATATATATATATATATATATTTTCTATCATTCAGGTCTTTTTATATTACAAATCTGAACACCCGAATAACAATAATAAAATAAAAATAAAGAAACCCTCGTTTCATGCCTGTTAAATGAATCATTTGTATTTACAAACATGTACATGAATTCAAGAGTTAAAAAGGAGTAAAAGTAGTCTTTGGGTTTTTGATCGACAGAGAAAGCTGTGATTGAGATAAGATTTTGATCATCAGCAAAGATTCATTAACCATCCAAGCTGTTGTTGTTGGAGAATATTAATTTAAAGTTGCCAACAAGTTTTTTTTCAGCCTTCACTGGACGGAGGATCTGTGTAGCCATATCTTCTTCTCTTGCTCACTGAAATTTAAAATTTGTGGGATTTTATAAGAATTTTTCCCTGAATGTAGACTTTGGAGTAGTAGGGTTTTAATTTTCTTTGCTTGGTAAAATATTTCACATGCTGATGTTAATTTATTAACCAATAAACATTTTGATTTAAATGGTGTGTGTTGTCTTGTGGAATCTTTTTGGCATGTTTGTAATATTGTCTGTCATTGGCTAGAAAATAAAGCTTGGGCATGTTTTAATATGGTATGTAATTGTGTTATATATAAATATATATATATATATTTATATATATATATATATATATAGGTGTATTTAAGCAGCAAGAACTATAACACAAGCAAGGTTTGTTTATTTAACTTTTTAAATAATTTTTCCAACTTCTGACTGATATTTTACATCAGAATTAAAAATGTTAAACTGTCTAATGTTCAATTTTATACATTCAATTACTTTCTACTTTCACTGCAGTCATCAAGAATTGAGTTATCAGTTTGTTTATGAAAATGTGTTTGGCAAATTCCAGCCTTGTTAGTTTGCTGGAATTAAAGTTAAATCACTTAAAAGTTGAATCATTTGCAATGGTCAAAATTAATTTACACATGCTTTTTATTTTTTAAAAAAATTGTTATTATCTTTTCACCTATACTTCAATTTACAATCTTCTATGGGGAAAGATATTTTATTTTGTATTGATTATTTCCTTTGCATTCTAATGGCTTCTAGAATGTTAAGTCTTCCTTTGCCTTGAGTCCTAGATAATATTTTGGTGTTATCTATTAAAATTTGTCTTCTGATAATATTATTTTGTTTGTTTGTGATATGTTGATCTATATGAGTATATATGCACCACTCTATATGAGTGGTGCATATGTGGCCAATGTAAGAATTTAATGTAGTTTATTGATTTTTTTTAATGTTGTAGATACAATCTCCCAAGAGACATGAGAATTCATAAACAACATTATTGTTACATAGGGTAGTTTTTTAAAGTGTTGAATTATTTCTAAGAATTAGACATTTTGAATTTTCTTTTGTAATAAAAATATGAAAAGGCTTTTAAAAATATATAATTTATGGATATATAATAGTTAAAAATCCTAACAAATACCTTACATTTATCATTTATTACAAAAACTTGAAAACGTCTAAAAAAAAAAAAATATATATAAAATAAATACTTCTAGAAGCCATTATAATAGGAAAGAAACAACAAGCATTAAATAAAATATCTTTCTTGAGAGGACATCGTATATTGAAATGTGTATTTATAATTAAAAACAAAAAAAGCGCATATAAATTCACTTTAAGTGTGGCAGATGATATCACCTTTAAGCGACTTAAATTTAATGGCAGCAAACTAAAATTGCCGGAATTTGCAAAACACATTTTCATAAACAAACTGATAACTTGCAATTCTTGATAATGGCTATAGTGACAGTTGAATGTGTCTAAAAATGAACTTTGGACAGCTTAACATTTTTAATCTGACCTAAAATAGCTCAGTCAGAAGTTGGAAAAATTATATAAAAAGTTAAATAGACAGACCTTGTCTGTATTAGTCAATAAAACTTGTCTGGAAATATATATTACTTCAGATGTTATTTTTAGTGTTACTTTGAGTAGACGATGTGTATTTTAATCTGCCGGCACACTAGATTAAAAAAGATTAATCAAGAAAATGTTGGTCTACCTTTCTCTATTCAAACCGGTATACAGGTATACACTAAAAATAATGTTTAAAGTAATAAAATGCCAGATTAAAAATAAATCCATTAATTCTTTAGAAATTATATATATATATATATATATATATATATATAATATGTGTGTGTGTATATTTGTGTATGTATATTTGTACGTTGTTTATGTGTGTATGTATACTTATATATAGAAAAATATATGGAAAAAAACAAACAAAAATCCTAATATGCAATTATCAGTAAGACTGATCAAAACAGATAACTGAAATTTAGACGGATTTATGAGGCAGGCATAATATCTATCACACGCATGGTTAATGCTAGACCTGGCTTCTTTAATATCTCCCCCTTTTCTAGCAAGATTAATGCTTGACAAACGTACATATAAGTTTTAGATTAAAATAAAATTCTTTTCATTTTTCATTCAAAATACTCTATTTTAGGAATACGTTTTCACAACATCGCCCACGTGACGCCGACGTGATCATATTGAAACGGAACGCTGATCTTGAAAAATTTCAGTTATGTTTTGATTGGTCTTACTCTTATGTCCATCGTCTTTTTCATGTTGAATTGAATATAGTCTAATGTTAATTATGTTTTATGAATATGTCCTGAAGATGGTCTAATAGACCGAAACGTCCGACGTTGACATTATATTAACATTAAAACAGCATAGTTGCATATTAGGATTTTTGTTTGTTTTTTTCTGTATATTTATTACTAGGCTGGCATCGACATCTCATCACTTTACATCCCTATTGTACACCTAAATTCTATGTTTCTTTTCTCTCACTTTGCGCTTGTGGAACACCCTCCTGGTTCCTTGCTTTTCAGCCAACTTTAATCTGCAAAAATTTAAATGCAATGTCAATCACTATCTAATGTCCACCTGATTACTCTTTTCTCTTTCTGCTCATCATTAATGTTTCTTTTCCTAATTTTTTTCACACTCTGTAACCCCTGGTGTTTTAGTGGCATTACTGCCTCGGATGGGGTAATTCCAATTAAAAAGAATATGTCTTGAACAAGATTGTCACTTTTCCAAAAGTAGTTTTAAACTAAGGGGAACAACTCTGCATGTTTCCTGCTTTATCAGGAATCCACATTTTAAAATAATTTAAAAAATATAATTTAATATAAGAAATGAAATACAATGGATTCCGTTCTTTTTTTTTTTTTTTTTTTAGCAAAAATTGGCGTAATCTTTAAATTTAACTGGTAAAAAGCCATTTCTTTAAGATTTTGTTTTAACTTTGTCATAATTTTTTCCAAGATCTGAAAAAACAAATATTTTTACTTTCATTCTGATACATAATAATAATAATGAGATTAACAAATATTGTTTAGTTTTACATTGTCTTTAGATATGTACATGAAATCTGTTAAAAAAATACTTTCAATACACCATATAAAATATATAAGAGACATGGTTGGTTTTTAGATACTTTTCTATGTGCCATGTCCCTTCAGGACGTGGAGGTTCATGGCTCTCGACAATTTCCATTTCTTTGTTGCTCTTAGTAAAGTTTGTCTTTTCGCTCTCTCTCCTAAACCCCGTCTTGCCAACCATTTACACAAGCCCATTGGGTAGGTTATGCACTGTTTTTCTCTGTCTACCTTGCCTTCAATATATCCTGTGAGTGTCAAATTTTCTTAGCCTTCTTTCTTTATGTGGCCTAAAAATTTCAAGTGTTTCTTTCTGATGCAAAATTTTCTTTAACATTCTCACATGTTCAGTCCCTTGTATCCTCAGCATCTGTTGCTTCAAATCTCTTCTTCATCTGTGAGGAAATTGTCCTGCATTCACCACTATAGAGGAGGACTGGTATTGCATAACAGTTCAATAATCTTTTTGTTTCTAACAAAATTTTCCTGTTTCTTAATACTTTGCTTAGCCTTTTGGAAGGCATCTTTCATTATCCTTTTCCATGTACCTTTGGATTTTGGGGTTGTATTATAGTGGAGCCATAGTTAGTCTTTAGCTATGTACATGAAATACGTATTAGAGTAAAGGTTTCTCTGTGTGTGTGTGTGTGTTTTAATGAAATTACTTTAAGCAGTTGGGCTAGTTGAAAATTCTAGGCCAGAAATTATCTATCTTTATATAAGTTTATTCATATCTACCTGAGTGATGTTTACTACTTCTTTATAGAATTTATCTCAGGTTACCTCACTACAAACTTATTTAGCAGGTAATTATGGGCAGAGGGGATATTTTCTTCTTATAATTTATTTTTTTTTTTTTTTACTATTAGGCCATCCCAATGACATGATCCAAATACCAAGTTTCTAAACTACATTCAGACTAACCTAAGACTTCTTTTTTTTTTTTTTTTTTTTAAATTTGACATTTCTCATTTGTTCTAAAGCAGGTTGATTAGAAAAAAAATTCCTCCTTTTACAATTTCTACTTGCAACTTGGTTGTTTTTTTTTGGTGGGGAGGAAATGCAGATGTTAATCATAAAATTTTCAAGAAAAAATGCAAAAATGTTCTATATTTTAGCTTTGTGTTCTTTTATTTTCAATTTGTGTTTTTTTTTTTTTTCAAAAGGCAATCGAAATTTCTACAAATATCGACTTTGTAACTGGACAAGTGGTTACAGGTGGAGCACAGCCCTTCTTCTCAGGTAAGTCATTTGCAGATTTCTTTCTCACTTCAAATATTTACCTTATTTATTATGATCTGGTGCAGGTAAGACTGTCTAATTTAACATTCCAATTTTAAGATCTCAGCAAAGAATTATTTGGGAGTCTGTATCAGATTTGTTGGTTTTTCCTTGCTTGCAATGGCCATAGGAGTATGGTCTATCCACTGCAGGCTTGGAGATGTCCGTAGAACCCATTTGTGCAGCCCATCTCCTTTTGCAAGAGAAATCTTGGATGTCTGAATGATAACACCTGCTCATTTTTGTCGCTTTCTCATCTGTCAGCTTTAGACTTGACACTAAAGTCAGCAGCACCAACCTCAATTGGGGTTGTTTACTTTTTATATCATATGTGTAAAATATCTATTGTTACCTGTTTGACTGTATATCACATATGTATCTGAATCGGATGCTGAGCTATGGTGTAATTAACAAAGTTGTTCACACTGGTTGGGAACATTTGTGTAGAATGTTCTCGTCCTGCACTTGTGGTTTACTGCAAGATAACTGTCAGGTGTCAAATAATTAAGTTCCTCTCTGGCTTGTTAATTTTTTGAATTTATAGGAATATTTCCAATTTTATCTCCACATTTGCAGATGTTATTTTGGGATGTTGTTGGATATAAAATTTCCTAGTAGAAAATTCCACCTATTTGCAGTTTGCCTTCCTTCAAAAGTTGAAATAGGCTGTGACGGATGATATTGGTAGATTTTAAGTGACTCCAACCCCAACTCTATCTAATATGTTCCTGATTTTCTTTTTTAACTTCACACTTCTTTCTGGTGGTAAAAACAAATAGATAGGGATATTAATCTGTATAATTTATGGAAAGTGTTGTTGTTGTTGTTTTTTTTTTTTTTTTTTTTTTTTTTTTAAAGAATTTCAAAGATTTAAACTAAAATTTCTCTTGTTTTCAATTCCAGCATCACTCTTGGTGGATTTGGTGTTGACCGATTTTATCTTGGTCTGTGGAAAGAAGGTATAGGCAAACTATTCAGCTTTGGGGGTCTTGGAGTTTGGACCATTGTGGATGTTATTCTGATTGCTAATGGTTTATATTGGACCAGCTGATGGCTCACTCTACATTTACTAACCTGAAGGAAGTGCAGCAAGGATGGGGGGGGGGGGTGCAAAGAGAGAGAGAGAAAATAAATAGAAAGAAAATAAAGGTAGAGGACACTCATGGACTGACAAATGTCTAAAATTATTTGAAATTTTTATTTATTCTCCAAGCTTTAAATTTTTAATTTTTTAAATTTTGAATGAAGAATCTTTAGATCCTATTGAGAAGATTATTTGATGAATCATGATTATTTCAATTCATATGACTACAAAAAAGTTTTGAATGGGTAGATTGTGAGATTAGTGTAGTTATTTCAGTTTCCATAAGTCCTCTATTATTTTGGCCTTGTGCCAGATTAAGGCACACTTCGTAAATAACTTAAAAAAATAAAAAGTTCTATTTCAATGATTTCTGAAATCCCAATAAAGTATTAGAATTAATTGGGCAAGTATCCCTATCTTTGTTGTTTTGATTATTGTTTTAAGTCAATGGCTTTCCTTGAGAACATAATTTCTCATAAACAGTTTTGACTTCATTCCTGTTGATAAAAACAACAAATACAAGGATATAAAGTTCAAATAATTGAATAATCGACAATGTCTTCGATAATTTGTTGCCATCCTGCTTATTAAACTTGAGAACATTCTAAAATCTAATTGTGTCAGTGATACATTTCATCTCTGTTGAAACTAGAATTGTCATTTTTTTTTTTTTTTATTATTAACCATTTCCTCATAGACAATTACAACTTCTTACTTTACCTCCCAATAAAATGGAGTTGGTCAGATTGTTACAAGAAGTCTGGGAAATGATTTTTGGAATGTGTTTGTAAGGGCCTGGTTCTGAAATTACTTTTTATCCTTACATTTCCCAACAATATGTCAACAGTGGGTGAGGTTTTTGTCTTCATTAGTTTGATTGATAATGTTGATGATTTTAAGATTTCACTTGAGTCAATTGGATTAGTGATAGAGAACATGTATTCATTCAGATAGAATAATTAACCAATCAAATGGCTCTATTTAGTTTTTGAAATTCCTAAGCTGAGGAGCTAGTAGTCAATCTAAAAATATAAAAGATGAATTGGAAACGTAAAAAACTTAGTTTACTATTAAATTTACCAGAAGCTAATTGACTGTCTTTCCTCACCTTATATATATATATATATATATATATATTAACAAACCTCCTCTACCGCTCATCTCTCTCTCGCACACACACATGTACTTACCTCTTTTAATTGAACAAAAGTGAAACTAAAAAACAACAAAAAAAAAAAACAAACCGTGTGAACATTTCTCCAGAATCTTCTCTCACAGTTTTGTAAATACCCATTTGTGCACTTATTTTTGTTGTTTTGTGTTGATATATTAAAACTTAACTGTATATACAACTATTTTTTTCCCCACTTGTTTGTAATAACTTGAAGCAAATTCATGAAATATAGCTTTGCATACATTCAAATCTAATAAAAAAATTATTTTAGAACTAAAAGCTTTTAATTTGAACTTCAGCGTATTCATCTGATAATGTCTGGATTAGTTGGTATATAGTTTGAAAGGAAATGCCTTTTTTCGATTTATTGATCAATCAGAATGCTTCATTTTGATTCTCGGAAAAGAGCTTATTTAATGGTATTAATCCTGAAATAAAGAACAATGTTTACTAGGTTTAGTCAAAAACGTTCGTCTCTCCGTCGCTCACCAACACAAGCCATTCAGTCAGTGGGTTTGAACATTTAATATTAGTCCGAATTGTCAATGCTTAGCGGCTAAATAATTGTAAGGGACATAAATCAGTTTTAATCCAACAGGAGTAGTCTCCCTTGAAAATACTTTTTTTTTTTTTCTTTCCTTTTTTATATTTTCATACATTTTCATCCCAATTCCTTTTTCAAGACAATAATCACCTGACCTATCTTATAAAGATAAATTGAAAAAGTAAACCCAGTCTTTTTCATATTAAGTCTCTTTATTAATCTCTTAAAAATCCAATATCTATTCTAGAATCTTTTTCAAAGAAAAATAGTAAATTCAAGGATTATTAACCATATATATTCACATGTCATCTCGCTAGATCAGTTCGATCCTCACTAGATGCCCCATACTTTAGGCCTTGTGCCACATCTAAGCTATGCTTGGAAAATAACTATATTCATATATCATATGGCTTTTGAAGCTAATTGTAAGGGGGTGCAACGCTATACACGAGATATAATCTTAGCATGTGTATCTCTGGCCCTGGCTATGCCATTGACTACACTATATATCCATTTACTGTCGTCAAAAAGCACAGCTATATTTAAAATAAACATGATTTTGATAAAACTGATATTTTACTTAACTGTATCCAATAAAAATGCTTGTAATATTCACATATTGTATTATAAAATACAAACACAGCAAATGTGTATCTTTTCCATTGTTTACGTTTATAAGATGTTTAGCTGTTTCTCATTTGGTTGTTTATGGCTGTATGTGTTTACGCAACGAGTATAGCGTTACTAATGATACTTTTATCATTCTCTTGTACTTTTTTTTTAACTTATTTAACTAGAAGATTGGATAAAGAGATAGAGGAAAAGAGGTTAATCTATTGTAATTTGGTCTCTCAAAAAAGGGACTCCATGATACATGAGATACATGAAAATATCATTTTTTATAAGTGAAAATTTGGGAGTCACATGATACGCGAGATTGCACATTACAAGAGTATATACAGTAACTACATTTTGTAAAAATATCAGTTTTTGCTTAAAATATAACAAAAATACACATTTTCCTTAGAGCACATATTTGCTTGTCAACATGTTCAAAAAGCAAATAGTAATTGTCTTATGATCCTACCCCAACTTTAAAAATAAAATTGTACCATAAATGAAATACAAGGACCAAAAATGTAAAATAAACTAAAAAAATAAGTCCATTTTATTGCTTCATGTTAATGAATTTTTTTGTCTCAAAAAATTTACTTTATTTCAGTTCATGGCCAACTGTAACAAGAATATTTGAACAATTTATTATTATTATTATAACTAAATGTCTTAAATGAAAAAAAAAACTGCTAAAAGCAAGTTCTTTTAAATTCCTGAAATCTTGAATATAGGAAACAGAATCAAAAAAATCAAATTAAATCAAGTTCCTTTTTCTTATCATGGACCAATGCTGAGAGTTCATAAAATCCACGTCCTGGATAAGATGATAAACTACGTCCAACAGCAAGGCCTCTGATCAGGAGGTTTTGAGGAGCATGGAACCACCTCTTAATTTCTGGTGTTCCCAGGTCCACTCTGACCCAGGGTGGTTCCAGCTATGGCCAAATAGTTAACCCTCAAACTGGGGTCAAAATGTGTAAAAATAGGTTTTATTACCAGCAATACATATTTTGAAAAAAAAACTATTACCAGCAATAAAAATCTTATTGGCATTAAATAACCTATTGAAGTTGATATGCTGTAAAACTAAACCATAAAGTCCATGCATGCAATTTTAAATACTTATAGTGTTGGAATTAGGCATGATGAAATAAATCTGTAAGAAGTATGAGAAAAAAAGAATTCCAAACTGAACCGTTTATTTAATTTATTCTTCTCATTCCACTTCTCGTATCTTGTTCTTATTTTTTTATTCAGTTATTGCTCACCCACTGAATGCAATTACATAAGGATTGAACTCATAACCACTGTCACCAAATTCACAAACGAACACTTTTACCTACGAGGCCATTGTCCTGTAGGAATTTTTTAGGTTATCCAGATCAATATGTGCCTGACAAAGGCTAGAGAGCACAATGGCTGAAACATGATAAAAATAACAAAGATGAGGACAATAGTCCAAATATAAATAGTGTAAATAATAATGCCTTATCCCAGAAATTTAGACAAAAATTCAATTTGTCTTTCATCATTATGTCGATGATTTAGAATAATCAATTGAAAAATAAGATTAATAAAACACAGACAGAAAATGGTTAAAGAAAAGACCAATCACTGCCATTGTAATAGTCACATGACAGGCTATATAAGTACCGATTCAGAGACTCCTCCACTTTAATTTTTTTTTTCCACTACATTATTCAGGAAGCATGAAGTAAGGCTATTCTCTTCACTGCTAACCTTAGTTGCATCAGGTTATGGAAGAATGGAGGCTGCAAACTTAAGAGAAATTAGTAATATCTAAAGAAGGGACCTCTTCTTCAACTGTAACTGTTGACATGTCATCTGGATGTCTTTTTTTTTTTTTTATTAAGCTAAGTCTGCAGATGCACATTGTCTGCAAACACTTTTTTTTTTTTTTTTTTAACTCTCTTTGGATATCAAATATGATGAATATGTCGACTGTCAGAGGTTGATTACAAAACCAGACTGCAAATGCCAACTTTAGAATAGCCAGTTCAGGCAATAAACATTTTTTATGAGTTCACTTATTGTTTCAACTGAAGTATTAACATTGTTTTCACACTAAAAGTTTCACTGTGAATAAACTCATCATTGTACCTGCAGATAATTGGCAGGGTGTTAAATAAATAAGTTGTTTCTTTCTCTTCAAAAGCTGTCACCCATTTCATTTGTGTGCATGTAATTTTCCTTTTAACCTTCCATAAACTTAGAATTGTGTCTCGTGGATATAACCACCCAATGAGTAATATGATTCAGTTTGTTTATTTTTTTTTTTTTTTTAAAATAGTTTTGCAGTTGTTTTTTTTTTTTTTTTTTAATTACACACCGACTTTATAAATGCTTTGTATAAAAACTTGAATTTTTAGAGATACACCAATCGTAAATTGACCTTTCAGAAGACAGGAGAAACAACATAATATTTTACGATACAAAATTAAATACTAATTTGTTGTACTGGTGGCTGTGGTTTTAGCTTTGCAATTTAAAACCTGGTCTACTTCTGATTTCAAATACTGACAAAGGCAGTGATGACAAACTTACTACCTATGTCTTTAAAGCAGAAAAATATTAAAAACAGTAAAAGAATTAAATCAACTGTTGTATAATGAG